GGGTCTCTATGGGTCTCTATGGGGCAGCGCCGACCCCCTCCCTGCGGCCCCACAGAAATTTGGGGAGGGAAACGGGAGCGACGGCGACGAAAAAGAGGCAAAAACGGGAAAAAAGGGCAAAAACGGCGAAAACGGCAAAAACGGCGAAAACAGCGAAAACGGCAAATCCGAGAGCGGCTCCGAGGAGGAGAAATCCCGGGAAAATGGGGCAAAAAGGGACCAAAACGGGAGCGACTCCGAGGGCGAAAAGCACCAAAAAGGAGGGTCGAAAAAGAGGGAAAACGGCTCCGAGGAGGGAAAAACTGTGGAAAATGGGGCAAAAAGGGGCAAATTCGAGAGCGGCTCTGAGGAGGAAAAACTGCTCAGAAAAAGGGGGAAAAAGGGTAAATTGGAGAGTGATTCCGAGGAGGAAAAACCCCTAAAACGGGGCAAAATTGAGAGCGATTCCGAGCATGGAAAAACCTTTAAAAAAAGAGCAAAAAAAGGGAAAATTGAGAGCGATTCTGAGGATGAAAAACCTCTAAAAAGCAGACCTAAAAATGGGAAAATTGAGAGTGATTCTGAGGATGAAAAACCTCTAAAAAACAGACCTAAAAATGGGAAAATTGAGAGTGATTTTGAGGATGAAAAACATCTAAAAAAGGACAAAAATGAGAGCGATTCTGATGATGAAAAACCGCTAAAAAAAGGACCAAAAAAGGGGAAAATTGAGAGTGATTCTGAGGATGAAAAACCCCTAAAAAAAGGACTGAAAAAAGGGAAAAATGAGAGCGATTCCGAAAACGAAAAACCTGTAAAAAAAGGACCTAAAAATGGGAAAATTGAGAGCGATTCTGAGGATGAAAAACCCCTAAAAAAGGGCAAAATTGGGAGTGATTCTGATGATGAAAAACCTCTTAAAAAAGGACCCAAAAAGGGCCAAAATGAGAGCGATTCCGAGGATGAAAAACCACTAAAAAAAGGACCAAAAAAAGGGAAAATTGAGAGTGATTCTGAGAATGAAAAACCTCTAAAAAAAGACAAAAACGAGAGTGATTTTGAGGATGAAAAACTCCTAAAAAAAGGACCGAAAAAAGGGAAAATTGAGAGCGATTCCGAGGAGGAAAAACTCCTTAAAAAGGGCAAAAATGAGAGCGATTTTGAGAACGAAAAATTTCTAAAAAAGGGACCCAAAAAGGCTGAAAATGAGAGCGATTCTGAGGATGAAAAACCCTTAAAAAAGGGTCAAAATGAGAGTGATTCCGAGGATAAAAAACCCCTAAAAAAAGGACCCAAAAAGGGAAAAATTGAGAGCGATTCTGAAGACAAAAAACTTGTAAAAAAAGGACCAAAAAAGGGGAAAAATGAGAGAGATTCTGAGCACCAAAAAACCCTAAAGATGGCCCAAAATGAGAGCGATTCTGAGAATGAAAAAAGTGTAAAAAAAAGACCCAAAAAAAGGAAAATTGAGAGCGATTCTGAGGATGAAAAACCCCTAAAAAAGGGCAAAATTAGGAGCGATTCCGAGGACGAAGATGAAATCCCGTTAAAAATGTTAATGGAGAAGGCCCAAAAGAGGAGGGAATTGGGCGAGAAAAAGGAAAAATCCTGGAAAAAGGGCGGGAAAATGGCCCGAAATGGGAGCGACTCCGAGGAGGCTCCGGAAACCCCTGGGAAAAGGGGGAAAAGTGGGAGCGAAATGGGGAAAAAGGAGGAAAACGCCTTAAAAAAGAGGGAAGAGGAGGAGGAAGAGCG